GCAAAAATGTCGAAAGGGATTATTTAATGCAAATTTTCGAACATTTCGTGTCATATAATTTTTTCGTAACTAACATCTAAGAGGAATTTAAAAGAGATTACGTTCAGCATTAAATTTATTTTTAAATTAATTTTGCTTAGAAATAATACAAGAATAATTATAGCATCTCGGATTTTTGCATTATCACGCGTAAAAAATATTTATTACGTATACTGACCTCGCAAAATTAACTGCAAATAATGAGTTTCGTGTGAGGAAGCGAAATCCAGTGCCGAAATCAACGATAACATTCATAACAATCGTAACTATAATCACAACGATAATATATAATGATAACTTTCGAAACATATGCTTCATAACAAACACATATACTCGTGCACCTGCGTATCTCATCGTATTACATATCTCACATTACACATACATATATAAACGTTAATTCTAGTAATATTGAACATTATCTGAGATATTCAATGACACGATCATTCGATTATATTTACTTTTTAAAATTCTATTGGTACAGAGTATTGCAACTGCAGGTTACATCATTAACCTTGTAATATCGGTATTCTTAAATTTTATCGAGTAATTTTGTATCTACAATTCATTAAAAAGGTGCTCGATTTGCAAATGTTACTTACCAACATGAGCTGAATTCAATTATCGATTACTTTTTGCAAATATTTACACGATACTCGCTTAATCATATTGCAATCCTGTAGTAACAGACGAATTTGCGATTGCACTCTATTCGGTAACTGACTTAATCGATTAAATACTCCATTCTGCTTCGTAAGCACAGACGTACGTGGCCATTTGCGTCTTCACAATCAGTCAAGTGAACAAATGCGTATACGTCAAGACAAAGATAGGCGTTCCCCTTAGGAAGTTCGCCTCCGACATTGCCGATAGTTCGCGAGTAGATGAGTAATACGTTGCGTTGGCTATTTCAATTAGAGACTTATGACTATACATTTGCAATTTTATATCAAAAATTCAGTATATAACTACTAAATATTTTTTATCTTTCATAGAAATAGTTTTCAATATTCCGTAGCAGTATTTTTAATTTAATTGCTACAATCAATTTTTTAAATCATATTGAATAGTGGAAAATCAATTAAATATGAAATAAAATGTTAGAATTTTTTATTTTTAATGTAACTTGCATGTGAAAAAGATGATATTAAATAACTTCAATGTATGTATATTTTTAGAAAAATAAGAGATAGAAGATTGTCGTAAAAATATTAAGTTATAATTTAGTATTAAATTTTTATATTGATATAACATCGCTAATTAATTTTTTTGTAATTACTTTTATTTCATTTATCTACAATACTTCAGAATTGGAAAAACTCAATCAGTTTTAAAAACAATAGTACTGTGTAGTAATATTTATATAACACTATTAAATAAAAAATAATTTTTGTTCAAATCTTTAAGCATAAGAAGGTGATATTTTCCATAATCTTTTAGGCACTGAATACAATTCCGTTTGCTGCAGTGTCACTTTACAAATGAAAGAGAAAGGTTAAAGTTACAAAAAAAATCTATTTTAGTGTATTTAGCATATTATTATAATCACATGAGAAAAAAATAATTCTCTTAACAGCATTAGCTAACAACATAATATAATTAAAAAAATAACCTTGTAAATTTTCAATAACAGTATTAATAAAAAACATATATCATACTCTTATTTTAGTAAGATATTACGTGTTTTATTATTATTGTTATTGAATTAACAAAATTATTTTCAAATATATTGATATAAATACAATGTCTTGACATCTTAGCGCTGAGACACTACCGTGTTTCCAGATACCTTTTTCCATGTGCGATATGTGACATAAAAGAAATTTTTAATGCAATCAAAATCAATTAAATCAAACTCATGTTATCAGAACTTGTAGTCCTTAAAAAAATGTGTTCTGTTAAATTGTTTATGGTAAAAAGTATAAAAAATATTTATGATTAATGTAAGTTCTATTATAATGATCAGTGTAAAAGTAATTATGACACAACAAATTTTACCTAAATAGAATAACAAAAGTCATTATGATATCAAAATTATGTCAAAATGACTTCAAAATCATCATTAAAAGTCATTTTTCAATCATTTCTGATTCATTTTAACGTTATTTTGACATTATCGTGACTTGTTATTCTGCTTGGATATATTAATTATAAACATCTTTTTTTAAAAATTGTGTTGTCATAAGGTTACATCCAAATTTTTCAGGTGATATTTAATAGTATCGTGGTTTAGCATTAATACCAAATATATGTTCTATTTATTATATTTTAAAAAAGCCGTACATGCATGTTTGTATCATATGTTGCTTTGAAGGACTTAAATGTGAATGTATGCTTGTACGTGTGTGTTTGAGGAAACTACATGCTCTCTCTCTCTCTACCACTGATAACAAAAACATGAATATGTACATTTTATGACGGAACTTAAATGTCGAAAAATATATACAAGATTCCTTGATGAAAAAATGTCTGAAAATTTCACTACAAATGCCTGAAAACATTTTTCAGGAATTTTCAACATTCAGAGATTTTCTCAAGGAAATTCAAGGATTATCAGAGATCTTTTCTCGGAAAATTATTTCCAAGTGTCTGAAAATCTGTAAATTTCGCTGAATTTCGCTGAAGAAGAAATAGAATTTTCACGGTTTTTCACTTATGGTATTTTCAACGAATTCTGTAAAAATTATTTTCAAGTGTCTAAAAGTCTCTGAATTGGAACTTGGGAATTTTCATGCTTTTTCATTTTTCATATCAAAATAACACTTTCAAATAAACATTTATTCACTTTCTATCAAATTACATTACATCAACATGTTTTTTATCATTTTTCTTCAATAAAATTTATATTTAAAAATCGGAAACTCTAGTCATTTACTAGCAAGTACCCACAAATTGGTATGACGTGATTTTTAAATTGGAGTGATTTCAAGTTGCAGGATAAAAAAAAGAAAAAAATCCATGCTTCTTTTGGAAACTCAACATTCCAGCATTTTTTTCTGCAGACGTACCCCTTCACATCATGCCTGTAGATAAAACTCCTATCAATACTCTGGGAACATCTATAACATTGCTTAATGATTGTGAGGTATTAACTTTTCATGTTATCGAATCAGAAGGGCTCCACTTACTGAACTACAATCGATTCTATGAATCAAATTAATTCTAATGAATTTGGCCTTATTAAACTTCCAATATTCTAGTACACAAACATCCGAAACTCTAATTTGCTCAATTAGAAAGTGATTTTATGCATATAAAATCCATTCTAATTCAGTCAATCAAGCTTAATTCAAGTCTCTTCGTCATTTGGATAAAGAAGTGTTTATATTAGGTGTACAAATAAATTTCCGCCGTTTTTTATCAAAAATTAAGCATTTATTGATGTGAAATTGCTTGTTGAGTCGCTCCTAATGTAAGTGCAAATTTTTTTTACGTTTGCCACGAATCTTCATTCAATAATGCTTCCAATTGCGCATCTTCGTATACTTTCGGCCTTCCGCTACGTTTTTTGTCTTCGACGTCAAATTCACCGTTCTTAAATTTTTGAAACCATTCATGACAACTTCTCTCACTTAAGGCAGCCTCACCATATGCTTCTACAAGCAATCGATGAGCCTCAGCTGCAGATTTCTTCAAATTAAAGAAGTAAATCAAAAGTTCCCGCAAATTATGCTTATTCGGCTCAAAACTCGGCATTTTCGCACAAAAAAAAATATATGATGCTGATACAAAATCGCTAGTATTTCAAGATTATGTTGTTGACAGATGTCCAATCTTACGATATAATGTTTTACATCAGACAATTTTAATTAGCTTGCTAGTGGTGCAGTCTTTTGTCAAAGGGCGAAAACTTATTTGTACACCTAATAACAGTGTCAGATATCATTGAAAATTTACCTGAAACAGATAAATATTCAAAAACTGCACTTATTAATTAATTTACTGATTTGGAAGAAAAAAAAACTCATATAACTTTTAGCCTGGTTAGAGCTTAATGACAAGAAGCCTACATATTCGTTGCGTAAAATCAAATAACTAACTGATAGAGATTATGTTGTATCAGAGCACTGTATCAGATAATGTTTCGTACTCTATTTGGCTGCAAAGATTACCTTTTAAGGTGCATTCAGATACAAACATCAAGCGTCAAGCAGCGGAAACAGCAATCAATCAGCGAGGCGATACGGAGTGCAATAGCATAAAAAATATTTTTGACGCTTGCATTTGAATGCCTTTAGACTTCAAGCAACTCTGGCAGTCGTTAAAAATATTCCGTTAAATAAATTAGCTAAATTAGCTGACAAAATTTTGGAACACAATAACAGTTTTTCATTTGGTTAATCCGTTGTTGAAGTTGCGAAATTTGATACTCCGACGTTTAGTTTAGCTGACTTGGAACGGAAGATTTTAACTCTTAAAGTTAAACTGTTCACATCATTATATTTAAGTTCACTCAACAAGTCACGCTGCAATTATTACTGAAGATGGAATTTTAGACCAAAGTCAAGAAATTAATCTGATTCATCTAATTCCGAAGTTTGCTGTTATCATAAAAAATTTGGTTCAAAAGTAATTAAATTTACTATATCTTGTTCTATGACCAAAACATTGGCCTTGATTGATAAGAAATCTAAATTTCCCAAAAAACTAAATTTATCGTTGAATGTTGAATCAAACAACAATCCTGCTAACAATTGCCTTATTTTCACTAAACTACTTAATCCACCATGGATTATCGTTAATCCATGGTGGATTAACGACATAAATATTTCTAAATGTCTTTTCGAAATCCTTTTTCTTGGATATTTAGTTTCTAATCAGGGAATCAAGGCTTATGTGAAAAAATTAAAGTGATTGTTAAATTATAAAATATCTAAGACCCTTCTTAAATTAAGACGATTTCATTATTAATTATTACAGAAGATATCTTAAAAATGTGACTAATTATCAAGTTTTATACTTACAAAATTTCTCAAGAATAACAGGAAACGTGACAAAAGATTTCCCTCGATTCCTGAAACGAAAGATAAGCCTTCAGTAATTCCAAGGAAGAAGTTTTGCAAGTCATGACTTTATTAACTCATCCAGCTCTGTCCTTCTTGTTCTAACTTGTAATGCTTCTGACATAGCAGTTGGTGCATCACTAAATAGTGATGAAATTAATATAACTTTTTCTCGAAAAAGTTTAATAATTCCCAACGTTCTTACTTATTGAGAGTTTTTGGGAATTGATTATTTAACCATTAAATATTTTAGATACTTTCTAAAGAAGAGGATCTTGATTAACCACGGCTTGATTGAATCATTAATTACAGCGACCGCCTAGGGATTTTCTAGTCTTAATTATTATGAGTTACTCGTGTCCAATCGAGCCATGTCCAATTTGGTGCCACCTCTTCTAGAGAGATGTAAAATAATCGTCAGAACTGATCATAAACCGTTCATTTTCGGATAACATAAATTAACGGTTTCCGTTAGAAACTGGATAAAGCTTGTCCTCAGCAAATTCGACAACTTGATTTTATTGCTCAATTTTTCACAGATATAGAACATATCTTTAGGGAACACAATTTCATTGCGGACGCTCTGTCAAGAGTAAATTCTATGCCAGTTATAATCTTTCTCGAAGAATTTACTGAAGTTCATCTAGAAGACAAAGAATTAAAGACTTTATTCTCAACAGGATCAGCTTTAAAGTTACAAAAGATGATACTTTGTGGATCGATTACTTCCATTTATTGTGACTGTTCTACGGAATGTATATTCTTATGTTCCTCAGCGTCTTTGAAGATGAATTTTTGATCATTAACTCATCTCAGCAGTAATTCTTCTTGTGAGACCATTCTGCAAAAATTTATTTGGCCTTTCATAAAGAAAGTTGTTAAGGAATAGTCTAGATCATATTTATCTTGTTAACGTGTTAAAATCCAAAAATATTCCAAGTACTTAACTTTCAAGATTGCTATTGCTGATTAGTGTTTTCAACATATGTACAGCCGATCACAGAAAGTGCAATACTTTTTTTTATGGGTTTCAGAATGCAGCTTTCTCACCAAGTAATTGGTTCCTACTTATAAATCTAAACATTTATGTTCAACCATTCTACAACTGAGTTCCGAAATCCATAGAAAAAAAGTGTTGCAAGTGTTTTGGAACTGACTTGATATTATTGGACCTTTACTCCTATAAACAATTTCATTATCTATGATTGATAGGTTTTCTGAACACGAGGTTTTCTATGCTAGGAGACGGGTTCGATCCATGGTGAAGGGATAACATGATGTGTGCAATTTGGAAGCATCTCTCTCTGAATCTCCGCCGTCTACAAATGTCGATAAGAGACTAAGGCTGCCAACTGTGTAACGCTAAAAAAACATGGGGCGATATTCATAATCCGTTTTTATTTGAAAACTATCTCAAATAATGTCTTAAGATGCTAATACAATCCTCGGATTGATTTATGACATCTTAAAATTATACTTAATACAGTCTTAAATCGATATGAATACTGGATTATTTCGAGTCGTGAAATTGGTACTGAATCTTTTCTTGTTTGGCACACACCATGTTATCCCTTCCACCATGGTTCGATTCCCAGCAGATCCAAGAAATTTTCATGTGCTCATAGCTCCTCTTCGGCATTCTAGCAAGCCACCAAGAATATTAAACTGTAAGTTTTATATGTTTATGTACAACCTGCGCACCACGAACATACGTACGAGAGATAGGCCCTGTTCCGACTTTGGGATGTTGCGCTGAGAGGGATTCGATAGCGCACATCGCTAATTGGTCAATTTAAAATAAAATATTAGGCAAAAATTATTAGGCACTCTTGGCAATGTGAAGGGATGTATGCTAACCCTCCCATTGCGTTATCAAATAAATGATAGGTTTTCTAGATGGCTTGAAGCAATTCCTTTGAGTGAAATTTCAGCAAAGACTATTACTATCTTTTATACTCACAGGGCTTTAAGATTTGATGGTCCTTACGTCCGTCACGACTGATCATGGTTCTTAATTTGAAGCAGCTTATTTAAAGCTTTCACTAATTTAATTGGATGTGAAAGGATTAGAACTTTTGCATACCATTCTTCTCCCAATGAAATCGTGGAGTATTGTACATTGAAAAATGCATTAAAAAGTTATGTGTCACAAAACTGCAAATTGGATAGATTTTATTCACTGTTTTATTAGGACTGCATTATTTAAAAAAGATTTGAAATCATTTCCGGCCGAAATGTTGTATAGATCGATTTTAGGATTCCAGAAGAATTTTTTAATGAGGAAAACTCACATGCGAATCCTAACATATTTTTAGAAAAACACAAACCATGAAAAATATTAAATTAAAACCTATGGCACATTATAATAGCAAGACTTTCTTTTATCATAAAAATTTTTTTGATTGCATACATTGAGAAACTCATTTAGTTGAACCAACCAAGGATTTGTTTGCCCATATTTAAACAAGAAATTAATTGATTGTTTGGGTCAGAGACAATACAATTTGTAAAGCTCTTCGATCACCTTATTCTGATCTTTTTCACGTGATTTAATTGAATCAATGATTATTTATTTATCATTGATACTACAGATAAATCGGGGGGTTGGTCACGGAGGTAATTTTTGTACAAGAGCTAGGTAATTCAGCGGCATTCCAAACGAAATTTTGAGTAATCCAAGCTTTTTGGTAAATAATCTTTAGCGTTCTCAGGTAATTTTGGATAATGTAGGAAATAGGAAATCCTAAGTAATTTAAGGATAATATCAAATAATCCATAGGTAATTCTTAAAGTAATCTCAAATAATCTGAGGTATAAATCTAAGATAATCTTCGATTTTTGAAGTTACTGAACGTCATAGATAAACATTTTTACGATAATATGTATATTTTCAATCGATTTTTGACGTAAAAAATTGAGTTTGTAAAAAAATTATTTTTTTATAATCTAGAAATTGTTAGCGTTAGGTTTTCGCAGTACCATATCTTATAATGCTTTCTCTCTCAGGCTGCGAATACACATTTAGCATTTAAAAATTATGAAATGCATCCTTATCTACAAGTTTTGATAAATCATCATTAAAAAAAAAAATAAAAATTATTTAGCAAGAAAGATGTTCTTTAATGACGGTTGAATCGACAAAAGATACGATCCTGGAATGTATCTGGGACAGGGTGTCCCAGATTAATCCTCAAATATTTCATGTGTAAAGCGAATTAAACTGAATCGAAAAGTCCTGTATCATTTTGCAAAAACAAGTGACAAAAATTGTTTATTTTCTTCTTATAAAACTCTGAGAATTTTTTCAGAATTTTGTAGTATCGCATTTTTTATGTTGATAACAAAAGTTGCCAATAAAAAATTCAATATTGAAAAGTTGATTAAAAAATTCTGAAAAAATTCTCAGAACTCTATGAGAAGAAATTAACAATTTTTGTCTCTTGTTGTTTCTCTGTAAAGTTGATAGTACTTGAGTAAAAAATTATTGAAAACCAATATTCGACGATTTTTAGTAATTAATATTTTATTAACTATTATGAAAATTGTAAAATGATAGAGGATTTAGTTTAGTCCGCTCTATCAGCGATCACGAAATATTGGCGGTCATTTCCCAGTGAGAAATGACAATGAAATTGATGTCGATTTGACGATTTGATGTTTTCGCATCGATTCGATGTTGATTTTACTATCATTTCTCACTGGATCTGAAACACTATAACATAGGGACGCTCCTAAGCCAGAGCGTCACGTGGCAAGGCCGCTAAGTTTAGAGCGATAGTGGGGGACAGTAGGCATCGCCTGCAGGAATCAGCTCAAAATGAGCATTTAGTGCCGAGCACTGTTATAAGTTTGATCAAATAAATCTTAGCAAAATTTTTAATTTAAGTTGATATTGTTTAACAAAAAGTCTGTATTATTATTAGTGTTTTATAAATACGTTCTATTTTATAAAATACCTATTAATATTTATATTCAATTGGATATTGTTTTTTCAGTATTAAAAAATTTCATACGTTACGAATAGTCGAACTTGTTACTACAGGGTACATCACTAAAATCCGGACAAATTTAAATTTAAATTTTTCGCTATATTGTGCCTCCGCCAGAGGTTGTTGTTAGTGTCCGAGAAAGCCTGATGCTTTTAGTAAACAGTCATTCTCAAAATTGGTCATTTGATTCAAAATTGGCTCTCAGACAACGTCGATATGTTTTGGTCCAAGGAATTCTGGCCTCCCAACAGTCCAGATTTAAATCCCTTGGACTACTACTGTGACCCTTTCAACTACATATGAAGTGTAAGGGTCACAAACAAGTCTCGGCATTGGTACATCATTAAGGACCTATTTGAGTCAATATTCGTCGGCATGGACATCGCTACATTACAACATGCGTGTGAACGCAGCCGAGAATAAAGGCCATCATTCAAACTAATAAGGAATATATCGAATAATTGTGCTCTACAGGGATTCCCCTAAGTGCCATGTAAAAGGATTTTTTGTAATATTTAATTTTTCATTAAAAACATTTTGTTTAAAGAAATTGTTCGATTTATCCAGATTTTGATAACGCACTCTGTATATATCTTTATACATATAATACATATTCTATTTGCGAAATTTTTATATTTTTGTTTCTGTATGCAATAAATATTTGTTTTATAAAATTACGTTTTTTTTAAGCAGAAAATCTGAAATCGATGTCCTCGAAGATACTTATCATAGTTATCTATAAAAATATTCTAGATAGTCTATAAAGATATTCTAGAATGATCTGAAGAAATAATACTTCATGTATAAGGTAAGATGAGTAAAATAAATTTAGAAAAATCTTAGAAAATATGACATAATGTTAAATACGTTAAGATAATCTTAGGTATAATATGAGGTAGTATTTGACAATCCGAAATAATTTGAGGTAGTATTAAATAATCTTATGTAATCCGATAATTTAAAGGTTAACTCAATCAAGGGTAATTTTTGTACACTAATAACAGCTCATGATCAACTCCCCGAGGTAAATCTACTAATATAATATTTCAACCGAATGCTTGAAACCAGTCTTCTTACCTAAAGAATTAGATAGTGAATCCAACTGTGTCAACATTGCCAGTTTCCTCTTTGACTTCATAAGTGGTTGGAAAACCTTTGAGGACATACTTTGGTTCTAAGAAGAAAGTATATATCATAATGTTTATCGTCAAGAGCGAGTATTATGCCAGTCGTCGAGCTCTTTTTGACCGACTTCGAAGATTACTTCATTACCATCCGTAAATATTTCATTTCATTTAAACACACACATTTACTTATCTCGATGTATCATAGCTAATTTAAATTTTCTATAAAGATCAATAACATAAATAAAAAATATTTTTAATAAACATTTATTCACTTCTTATCAATATTACATTACATCAACATCTTGTCATTTTCAACAATGTTTATATATTAATTGAAAAGTCGAAAACTCTAGTCATTTACTAGCAAATAGAATTGAGTTATCCGAAGGTATTTTACATTTTGCGATATTATATAGTAAAATACGTAAAAAACGTATAAAATACGTATAAATTGCATAAAACTCTAATTTATAATCCACGACGATTTCACGTTACATATATTATATATTTTGAACAGTGAATTTTGGAAAACGTAGTTATAGCTCATAATATATGTGAATTTTAGCGTGTTATACGAACAAAATGATTCTGATTAGTCGTATTACTTTTTCGAGATCCCATTTTCCAAAACTTATAGCATATTTGATTTACTGACTCGGAGTCGGGTCGAGTCAATAAATCGAATATGCTATTACTTGGACCTGTTTTGTGAGTCGAGAAATCCACTTAGGGAAGAAAAGAAATCTGTGCTGCGGCCTTAAATATGAATATTTCTAATAAAAACGTTCGTGTAAGTAATCATTATTAATTATTTATAAAAAGAATTTTGGAATCATTTTTTAAACATTTTTTACATATGGCTTATTAAGCAACTGTTTCCCCTTCTTTTCCAATATAAAATTTTTAACACTAGCAGTGAATTTCGGATCGATTTTGAGCGTGGATAATGTAGAGAGTAATCTTAAGAATTAAATTACACACATGATGTAAAGGTAGCGCCACATGGAATAAATACGTACAAAACTAATAATAAATGAAAGCGCCAGAAATCGATTCTAGAAATCGAATTCTTTAATGAATGTAGGATAGACATATAACTTTTTCTATCTAAAGATTTATTTTGATATGTATACTCTGTTCCTTTATTCTAAAACTCTATCTATTGTTAATATTAGTAGATTTAAGTAGTTATTTTGATTAAACTAAAATTAATTATAATCCAGATAACCAAACATGCTGAAGCATAAAAGTTGGCAAGTCTTGTCGGATTTATTTACTGCTCCTGTGCCGGATCTAGTGCAGCATGTGTCATATACAGAAATTTACATGTTAAAAAATTATGATTTTAATAATGAAACGTATTCGAATAAAAATATTAACATTGTTCTGTTAATGATATTATTCCAAAATGTTACTGAAATTAAAGTTTTAACGTGAAACATTGCACCATGATTATCAAGATTGATGTCAGCATAACTACTCGTATTGATGATGGATAATCAAATATTCACAACATGGATATCACCAACTATAAATGTGCAGAAAGATGATAAGAGCATGCTTTTCAAGAAATTTGCTGTTAATAGAGGCAACGCTAAAGTACATTATTAGTATTTATATTTTTTACATTTCGATAAATATTAATTAATAAGATCAGTACACAGAATTACATCTGTCATGTCGATGAGGTGTAGCGACAATGAATATGTTCTGTGGCCACAATTTCCGAGGTGGAAATGCAAGAGAAGAGAGCTTCTGCCCAAACATTTACTTTCCATGCAAAGTGACGATTTAATAGATCATATTTATTTGAAATCACAAATAAAGTATTACACACGTATTTCAAATTCGCATGCTTTCGCATGCGTATGTGGCCATGGAGCATGCGCATGTTACTACAAAATATGCGCATATTGCCAAGGTGCATGTCCACATCGTTTCATCTCGTCGGTGTCATATTAGCCGGTATTCATAATCGGATTATATATTTAAAACCATTTTAAATACAGTACGTCATAAGTCAATCAAAGGGCCGCATTAGCGACTTAAAGACATTATATTTAAGATGATCTAAAATTAGAACCTATTATGACTACTGTCCATCAAATTTCTTAACCTAAATAGTCAACTTCAACGATTCATATTTTGCTTCGCGCGACAGAGCGACAATTATTTTTGCCAAATTATTTCGTTTCGTGCAAAAAGTGAGTCTAATTTCATGTTGGAGGTGAGTACTGAGTTCTGTATAATTGCCTTGTTTCAGTTCCCAAATTATGCGAAAAATGTCTTGTAGTTTACAAATTGTTCCAATTGATAAACTATATAATCATATTGTAAGTCGCACATAAGAAAATTAATAAAACATTCTTTTTGTGTAGGTGCTTCTCATTAGAATTTGTTTTTTTTTTCGTCTATCAAAATCATAACAATATCAATTATAATTTCTCTCTTTTCTAATATATGATGACTCTCACATGTATAATTCTTTAGATAGAACAAAGCTATAGACATCTTTTGGACTTGTTTTGCTAGATCTAGAAGATAAATTATTAATAAATTATATTATTAATATTGTTATAATTATTATTGTTTACATATATTCTCTATACATTCCTATAGGTTTCTTTTTATCATGAAAACATTCTTATATATACAATATTCTTTTATATACAATATATAAAAGATATCACTTACAAAATTCGAATATTCTTAAGAATCTGAAGATTTGCAGCAGAAGAATTTACATGAAAAAAATTACATTAATTTATATTATTTTTTTATGCCCATACAGAAGCAATGGCAGCAAATCCCAATTTTAAATTTATACAAACTATTCAAGGAGGCCATTACCGAAGCATTGAGGTCAAAGTAACGATTCCAAAATCAACAAGATGTGCTGCATGTTGAAAATAATGGAAATAATAGTGATGCAACTGATGATTCAAATAGCGATAATATTAACGAAACCGATGACTTAAACAGCGAAAACGACAGTTAATTAGCATTAATAACGTCTGCATTCTTCATAGCTATAATAGATCAGAAATTCAGGATATAATTAGAATTACATTATATATTAGTATTACAATTTTATGTTGTGTTCTTGAAATTCTTTTATGAAATTTATGTATTTTATAAGTTTTTCTATTTTATGTTTTTGAAATTTTATTTTGCTATAGATTTTATATATACATGTTCTGATAGGATTTAATAACAAAGCATACTGCGCACATGTATCGCATTTGCCGACTCAATTGCTGCAAATATGCCGACATGTCTATCCACAATCGTGAGTGCGCTATGCTGACACAATGTCGACATTTTGCTATCTGAGAAGTTGCCAATATCAATCTAGTTTTAATAGAGTCCCTATATTAGAGTCTGGATGATCTTGTAAAAGTTTTTATTAGTTTTGAACTACGATGGCGGAATCAATTATCAATACTATTATATTTCCACTTCGAGTATAATGAACGCGGTAAGATTTAGATTTAAGATAAATGGTAATTGTGAGAATAAAATTTATGTTTCCGGTAAAAAGTTTTTTATGCATAAATATATATATATATATATAAACATACATAACATACATAAATATTCATATATAAACATGTATAATCATCTATGTATAATCATCTATGAAGTATGTCCATACTTGTTCATCGGGAATGGCTAAAACATGGCGGACCAATCACAAGTGATGACTCGTATGGCGCCACTCTGATTATAGGCTCTCTAGTATAATCAACTGACCAAAAAAATCTTTTTTTTTTTTCATTTTTTAAATGTATTTTTCATATTAATTTTCAGGCACAATACAGCACATATCTAGCATAATTCAGTATTATTCTCAAAATTCTTCAATATTATTCTCAAAATACATTAATTCTAAAAAAGAGAACTAACTTCGTATAGACTGCATGCATATATGCACACATTTTCTACGTTACTAATCTTCAGAGTTGGGAAAGTAATTTTGTAAAAATAATTAGTTATAATTACAGTTTTTTGTTTTAAAAAGTAGCTAATAAGTTTTAGAAGTTATCAACTCTAAAAACTAACGAGTTACAGTTACTAAAAAAAAATGTTTCAATTACTTGTCAGTTACTGTTGTCATTACAGAACAACATATGTAAGTAATATTTTGATACTATCTATCTATTTGATACTAATCTTAAGATTAACATAGAAAAAGATTGATTTATGTTTTTACATGCTATACAATTTTATTATAAAAATTAGCAAATATTAAACTTGATAAATACGTATAAAAACATAAAAATGTAAGCAGTATGGGATCGGCCAATGACACTAAAAAAGTAAGACAGTAACTTCACGTTCTCTACTAAGATTAGCCACTCTGCTTACTGCTTAAATCTTTGCTTAGTGCTTTATATTTGTACGAATAATTTGCTTTTATCTTAGAGCATATATTAATGGAGCGAGTAAACTATGCTGAATAATGATGCAAACAAGTAAGACAGAGAGAGGAATTTTGGATGTTTTCTATCAAGAGCGTTCGAATAGGGAAGTTTTGTTATTAACATTAAAGTGAATATTTGTTTATACTTTTCATTAATTTATCTGTGAAATAATTTGTTCGTCTGTCGCTTTGCATGTGAGAATCAAAACACAAAAGGCTGGCATTTTGTAAGATTTTATAACATCGCACGAGCAGGGATCAACAGGGATCATATTTCGCTACTGTCATCCGCTGTCACTGAACAGAGGTGAGGCCTGATGAGTCAATTACAAGTTGAAGAAGAGAGAAAGATCATTACCAAATATCTTCTTCTTTGTCTTATTTGCCGGCTTGTCAGTTTACTATGTAAAACATATGTTCGCATTAGTATATGCTCTAAGGCTTTTATGGATCGTTTACAATGAGTGTAATATTGTAAATAAGCTTAGAAATTGACCAATTATAATCGATTATACTTTTCACATTCGATTGTGATTGGTCAATTTCTTACGGTTTACTTACTACACTATATTACTCTCATTTCAACAAACAAGCTGACATTATTTGTCATCATTTTGAGATTACAAATGTTATTGTTACGTCAAAATGACGATGAATAATGTCAGCTTATTTGTTAGGATTATAAACGAGGAGTAGCTTTAAAGATAAGGAATCTGTAAACTTTATAATGATAAGCAGGAATAAATTATTAAAATGTTATTATTAACGTAATATTCGTGTAATAACATGATAACTCGTTTATGAGAGATAAAGAATCAATAGACACGTTAACAATAAGCAAAACTAAACCGTTGCTTGTCTTCTAAATGCGGCCTTTGTGTTCTACGCAATCAGTAGCGCAATAACATAATTATTAAGATTCTAATTAAGGGACTCTTTTATCAATTGTTGATTAAATTAATCGACAATTTCGCAGAAGTGCCACGGCAATTTAATGTATCAGAGCAGAGAGAAACCTGAGAGAGGACATGATGGCCCAAAACCTGTAACTGCAAAATGCTGCCGCGCACTACTGCCCTCTGACAAAGTGGATGTAAACTACAGCAACGTCACAGTATAAGTATATACAGTATGGAATACTGAGCGTCGGCACCTTGATATAGTGGACCTCAGGTCACGTGACTCGCCGTCATGTTGTGGATTGGAAAAGCGCTTGTAAATTTGAGTTTTTATAAAGGTATAGAATGATTTTTCTAAAAAAAAACAAAACATAATTCGGTCGTGTCATGAAAATTGTTAGTGAGTATTTTTAAATCAGAATTTTATAATAACATAATGTTAACGAACTCATATAAAAATAATATTCACATTAACAATAATAATAATATTAAACAGTAATAAATAAAAATAATAATTGATTAAATACTATATGAAGATTGTAATTGAATAATTATGTATGAAAAAAATAATAAAATATATTGCATGAAAATTATAATTAAATGTAAAGTTGTAATTTAATGACGCACGCATGTACGCACGCATACTTTATTACAAGAATACTTTATCGTATACAAATATAATAATCTAGACAATATAGCGTCTCCGAAAAAATTTGATTTAATTTTTTAATAAAACTTAATTTTATTAACCCTTTGCCATATTTTTCTCTTACAAATTAAAAAAAAATTAAGCTTTGTACGTACGACGTACGGTTCTTATCACGTGATATTCATGTTTGGCCCAATTTCTTTATTACGAGTTTCACACAATATTGTAGGCGAAAGGATTAATTATATTTTATGAGAAGGAGGGTCTAGCTAACCTAATATAATCTGCAATTTCAACTTGCTGAAGGCAATTACATTCCTGATTGGAAATCGACTCATGCGCACTAAAAATTGAGAACCACATAAAAAGTTCAGTGTTCATACTGTATGTACTTATACTGTGGTGAGACCGCATCCTTAATTGAATTGACTTTCGTTTGTCTTAGGTGGCGAAAGCCATTAAAGTAAAAAGAAGAAATTAAATAAAATCAAATAGCGTATTTGATTTGTTAACTCGAATTGACTAGTTGATGGTTTATTTTTTTTAGCTGTATTTCCTGGAATTCTGCATAGGTTAAAGGGCCGTGGCACACAAAAAATTTAAGGTAGTAAGAAGCAGTAAGAAAATTAACATGTTGGATTGGCTACAGCTTACGTTATGGCTTTACCGACTCTACTGTGGCGTAGTTTACATCGAAGATTCGATCCGGATCAGAATGCAAAAACCAACCAATTGTAGTCAAGCATTCTCCTGTTACAGTCAAATGGTAAGGGAATGCTCGACTGCAGTTGATTGGTTCTTACATTCCGACTGGGATTGAGGGCTGCCGCACATAAAATTTCTGTAACAGTAACCTTAAAGCGTGAATTTAAGCCGATGAGTCAAGCAGGATATTGCTTCAAATCTACGTACTCTTATGGAAAACAGTAAATTTATCCATAAGGATTTTCAATCGGTTGAAATTCATCTTATTGCGAAGTTATGGATAAGTTTACTATTATTTCCATTTCCGTTAGATTACGTAATCTAAAACAGTACTTTAATTGGTTCGACTTAAGTTTATATCTTACGCATATTGTTATGGAATTTTGTATACAGCCCCGAATCCTTGGTGTAAATTAGGCTTGTGATTGGTTAACTCGCATACTGCTTACGTTTTACTGTTTAAGTTTTTTGTATGCCATGGCTCTACTCTTTTTTCGTTAAAAAGAACAGACCATTGACTCGGTGTCCATCGAGTCAGCAAATCGAATAATATACTAAAGAGATCGAAAAAAATTGCTGTGGTTTTGAAAAAGATTGCACTATTAATTCATTTAGATAGAGCAAGTTCATTGAATTCGCTCACTTAAACCGAAATAGTGAGCCAAAGAGTGTTCGCTAATGTGTTATTTCCGTATCAGATAAAACAATATAAAGTTTTCCAGGCTTCTGAAAGTTGATGCGAATGTTATATTGTAACCTGTAAATTAATTTTCGCAAGTATGGTAAGTCACATTATTCCATACATTGAACATCCATACTTATTTGATTTGTAACAAGTATAGCACACTTTTAACTATTGATTAAATGTATCAAGATAAGTATGCTCTGATACGATTTGTAGATTTCTAATTTCAGGTAAAAATGTTTTGACTTTTTTAGCTAACGTCATCCATATGAACTTCCATCTATGGATTTAATCTAATAATGGTTAAAGGCTCTGATGACTTAAATAAGTAATCATTTAATAATATCATTAAGATATTTTATAAATTATAAATTATTGAAAAAATGAATGCAGCTTCATTTTGCACAAATTTTGCAACTAAAGATTACATAATATAAAATATTTCAACGTAATGCTAAACGTCATGCATTATGAGCAACAAATGTTGGAAAAAATTAGACACCAATGAAAAATGCATATCTCTGCATCTGTCTGATAATAACTTTAAAATGTTT